CTGAACTGCTGGCTATTTATTTGTGTCTGGATTTTCCAAGCTGCTAAGCTACTCTTCTAGAACTTTCCTAGTGGCAAATCCATGATTATGATCCTAAATGATTCTAAAGATACTTCCTTGCCTTTTCACTTACCATTGTCTCCCTTTTAATAAATTTACTTTGATTTGATTTGATTTGATTTGATTTGATTTGAGACACAGTCTTACTATGTTGCCAAGGCTATTCTTGAATTCCTGGCCCAAGTATTCCTTCCACCTCAGCCTCCCAAATAACTGGGACTACAGGTATGTGCCATCACACTCAGCTCATCTACTTAATTTTTAGATCATTTCCATGTAGGTTAGAAAGTGGTACTGACATGATATATCTGAATTTATTTTCTAAAAAAAACAAAATGAAATACTATACTATAAAAACAATCATTCCTAAGACATCTACTTCCCCTTTTCTTTAACATTCAATTCAAATAATGAGAAAATACATGATCTAAACTAATTTCAAATAGTTTTTATATAGTCTTATTTTGAATTTATACATTTCCTGTTATGGGTACCAAATAGGAAATATTATTTTTTACCCACCTACACCATCCTTTTAACTATTCATATAAAGAAACAAAAAACATAGCGACATTTTCTACTGGTTCCTGAACAATGCCAATAGATTAACAGATTAGCAGAAATGAAATAAGGTACAGAAACTGAGGAAAAGTTAGCTTCATGGAACCAGTACATATATCAGGTAGAATCTTCTTTCAGATTTATTTGGAAATCTAATTCATTCTCCAAAATAATCAAAGTGCTGATCTCTGGGAAGTAAACAACTTTAAAGCATCCTAGTGATCTCATAATTGCAAAGAAAGAAGCACGCAGTAACTCAGATTCTTTGGGAGAGGGTCACAGTCATCAAACATAAAGTGCTTGATATGGTGATCTGGGCCTGTATACTGCAAAAAAAAACAGTTTTAAGAAATCTTATAAAAGAACAAGTCCTGCCACCTGCCACACATATGCTTTAATACACAGAAGGTGGCACAATTTTAAAAGAGGTGATCATTATAATTGGTAGTAATATTCTCTTTATGTTTCCAGAGAAAAGCTGCATTTACAGCTTTAAAATATTGTGCAAACATAAAAATCTCAGTCATAGATATTTAGGAGGCTGGGGATATAGCTCAGTGGTAGAGTGCTTGCCCAGCATGCACAAGGCCCTGGGTTCGATCCCTAGCACTATGGACAAAACAAACAAACAAAAACAAAACAACTTTATCTATATTTATATATGCAGATATAGTTGAATAATGGCACTGGGCCCACCTTAAATCATAAAGGTCTACGGATAATCCAACAAATTGCTATGACCTCTAATTTCTTATTGGGCTTCTTTAAAACAAAAGTTCAAAAGCCCATCAACAGACCTGTGTTAAGCCAAACAGATCCACAGCCCACCTCTTCACGAACATTTAGGAGGATGCTAAATCAAAGATGTTTGTTTCTGATCACCAAGTACAATTTCCCTCTTGGGAGTCTATTAGGCTGTTCTGAATTTGTAATTTCCTTGAAGCACTGTCACTTTTAATAGGTATGTGTCTTGCCAGAATATGTTCACTTCATTCTGACAGTGACAGAAAGCTCGCTAATGAAGTAGTTTGACCAGTTTCTTTCTTAAAGTCTGAAAAAAGAAAAAACTGCATTTAAAAGGCTGCATATTATACATAATGTAGTTCACTAAATGATAAACTCAAGAATTGTCATTTTTGCTTTGATAGTTTCAAAAACCACTAGTGATAAAGACGCTTTACACATTTGCTTTGCCCTTTCGTCTTCATTTACCTGTCAGGATGAATAGAAGAGAGCACAAAGACAAGGAGAATGACATCCAGGATCCCATCTGGAAAAGGGTAGGGTAAGCCATCACTGCACACATCATGAACAAAGGCAGAACACTGGGCTGCTCTGTAGGATGAGTGTGACTGTCATGATAAACGAATAAAAAGAAAAAGAAAAAAAAAAGGATTAAGCTGATTTTTAAAAACTAAAAAGGTCAAATTTTTACTTTTTCTCCCAAGAGTCTTCTCTCTGTAAATTTGAATACACTTTATTGCCAGTTCATTTTTCTATTAGCTTAGTTCAGGCTGATCTAAAAAATTAAGTCTAGTACCTAGATCTAATAACAAATATTTTTCATAATCCTTTGAATTTAGGAGTAGGGCAGGTCTTATGAGTCAGTAGGCAGTTGATAGAGGACTAACCTGTGTTGTTTAGAGGCACTAAGATGTTCCTCAACTCTCCTACTGATTTTTCCATATCTCTTTTGGCTTAAAATACAAATATCCTATAGCACATAATCAAAATTAGATAATGGTAATGGTTGCACATTTCTAAATACACTAAAAACCATTGAATTGTATACTTCAAAATGGGATAGTATGTGAACTATATTTCAATAAAGCTATCATTTTAAAAAAAAACTGCATTAGTCATACACACACACACACACACACACACACACACACACACACACACACAATTTGTCTACAGAAATATCACCAGAAGTAAATACATGAACATATCATGTTGATTCACCCTAGGAAGTGTGATTACTGGTGTATTTTTTTCCATTAGGCTTTTTTTTTTTTAAAGATTTTTTTAAAGATGGACACAATATCTTATCTTTATTTATTTTTATGTGGTGCTGAGGATCGAATCCAGTGCCTCACATAACCCCAGCCCTTGTTTTTTTATTTTTTTACTATGGAAAATGTTTGCAATGAGAATTACTCTTATTATCAGAAATCTAATTTTTACTTTTCTTTTTTTCTGCAGTACTGAGGATTGAACCCAGGACCTCATGCTTGCTAGGCAAGTGGTGTGCCACCTAGCTATAATATTTAATTTTTTGAGACAAGGTTGTTTAAGTTAGCTTCAAATTTGTGATTCTCCTGTCTGAGCATCCAGAGTAGCTAGGATTATATGTGCCACTGCACGTGGCTTTTACTTACTTTTTAAAAGTTTTACTCAACTATGTGTTTACTGTACATTTTTGTTAGTAAAATTTCCTTTCCTTTTTGTTAAAATTGTCTCTTCATTCTAAGGTAGTACTCACTACCATTCAGGTATTTGTGCAATAATCTTAGGTTTTCTACTGTTTTTCTTATAGTCTAGGACAGTCTGGATTTGCATTAAATGCCTTCTCAGATATTTTTCTAAAGTTTTAATTCAATGAATGTCTACTGTGCCAGACTATGTGGAGGCTTTAGAGAAAGATATGAATAAGATCTCCTTGTAGGATTTAACAGAAAATTTCAATTTTGGGGGTAGGAACTTGTTTACCCATATGAAAATTTTAACTAATTTTAACTGATCTCCTTTGAACTTAAACAAGTTGTTTGAAGTACAGTCACACTCATAGATATGAATTTTGTAGGTCAGTACCATTTTGGTCATCTCTGTGTGCTGTTGGCTTTTCTAGGTCTACCAGTTCCTTGAAATCTATCTTAAATTTAAGACAAGTTTGGGGCTGGGATTGTGGCTCAATGGTAGAGCGCTTGCCTAGCATGTGTGAGGCCTTGGGTTGGATCCTCAGCACCACATAAAATAAATAATAAATTTTAAAAAAAGTTACTAAAAAAATTTAAGACAAGTTCTATTGCTTTAGGATAATTACTATCTTAGGCAGTCGATGACATGATTCTCAGAAGTCATAAAAATTCAGTTAAAAATGGTTACAGATAATATTTGATTTAGAAACATTTCAAAAGAATTCCTCAAAAGCAAATAAATTTGACCTTATTAAATGGACTCCTTAAAGAAAATATAAAGTGTACCTTTACAAGCTCTATAGCTCCAGAGGCAAAATCACAACAATAAAGAAAGGATTCTGGGGTGTTCCTATGAAAAAGGAAGAAGGATTTAAATCTAGAGTCCAAACATGGTCAGGTTAGAAGAAAGCAAACTATAGATTTGATTTATTGGTAACTACTTCTTTAATAGAATTTTGGATGACACTTGGCTTGTCATTTCTCCTTTTTGAATATCACTTCCTGTACTGATTGAGACTTATTAATTACAGGGTAACTTTCAAGCTCCTGTTCTGGTTTTAAGGTCCCCCATTAGTTGGGCCTATTTGCTTTATAAAAAAATCTTAACTCATTTCAATTGTCTTCTTTTGGATCTAAATACATTCTGTTTGACTTTAATTTTAAATATAGTAGCAATGACTGGTTAATCATGGGCAGGAATGTACTATGAAGTTTGTGGGCCAGTACCCTTCATGATCAGCCTCTGCAGGCTGGTATCAAATAATTCTTGAGTCATGTTGTACAGAAACATGTCTGAATCACAGAAAGAGGTCACCATGTCTTTAGAGAGTAATTTTAAGTATGGTCCTGGCAGTCATCATACTCCCACATGGGAAATCTCCAAGGCCAACATCCAACATTGCTCCATCTTCCTCCTTTTTCCCCCCAGCATGTACTGCAGTTCCTTAGCTTGGCCAGTCCTACCCTTTTCCAAGGACTCCCAGACTCTTCCTTCATTCCTCTTCCTTTCTGTATTACTTATTTGTCTCTTGGGCTTCTCACAGAAGCTCGAATGGGCAGAAGCACATATGCACATTTATTTTATTTTAGGCAGGGCCTCACTATGTTGCCTATGCTGGCCTTGAAACCTGGGCTCAAGCGATCCTCTTTAGCCTCCCAAGGAGCTGGTACTACAGGAATGTGCCATTGCACTGACCCACATACTTTAAAAAAAAAAAAAAATATATATA